AAAAGAGAAAAAAATATGCAAAATTATGCACAAATAGAAAACAATGATTTTTACTCACTACATAACATATTTATCATTTCAGTTANAAAACTTGGGTATTTGGAAATTGAAAGGAACTGTCACCACAACATTTCCATGCCCAGCTTTATCAATTTTCGATATCTTTTCCCAGAGATCTAGAAAAATGGTAGATATCTTTCGTTTTTCTTGGATATTTCCCTCTGTATCCTGCAGTTGAAAAGCTTGATAAAAATTTGATCTAGAGTTCTTCTTTATACTGTTGGTTTTGAGCAAACTGCACTTCCACAGTAAATCTAAAGAAGATTATGGATTAGATACAGCAAGTCCTTTTGATTGGTATAAAAAACAAGGGTTTTTACAATGCTTTATGTCTATACTACAATTCAAGGCAAAAATTTGCAGAACACATTTTTCCGTCACTATAAAATCCAGGTTTTGGAGTTTTTGTGAAAATGGACATTGAGACTTTTGTTTTTGCCTCTGCACCATTAAACAACATCATTTAACCAAAAGTTGAAATCTAAAGAGCTATTTGCGAATTTTTTATCTTCATATTAGTATGTTTTTTGCACCTTTGGAAATTTTCAAAATATACGTTTTTTGCAAGATTATTGGTAGATTTATAAAAAAGATACAAAGTGATGATAGATAGATAAACTAGATTTGTACATATATTGTACATATGTTGTACATATATTGTACGTATATTGTACATATATTCCAATATATTCACACACAAGGAGTTCTCATACTCACAATTCTACTAGAATCTAAGAATTTCTCTGTTCTTGTTTATTTTATAGGGACTGTTCTCGCAATTTCAAGTGACTTTCTATGCAAAGATGGTAATGCCCGATTCACAACGGTACCCTTGAAACCATTATCTGATCAATAATGTGGAAGATATTGTCATTTTTCTAGGTTTAAAAGTGTTTAATTATGATAATTCATCTACGTGTTTGTATGTTTTTGAAGTAGAATTCGTAAGTCACTTTTGTAAAGTTCAAAATTAACATTTTATTGAAATTAAAACATTGATATATAATTTATACTTGATCAGAACAAGCGTTTATGGGTTCTGTTGTGAATAGGAACTAGTCATTAGTCATTAATTGTGATTATATATGTGAATATATCTATTTAGTAGTTCTTATCTTTAATTAATAACCTTGCAATGCAATATTCATGTAAAAAAAAACTTTAAATTTTCATAAACATCAAAATACAAAAACCAAATAGCTAAAGACAACATTTTTTGGCTTTTCCATATTTAAAGAAAACGTTTTGTTTCGCAACTACCCTAATGTTGCTTAAAAAAGAATAAAACTGCACGGGTAGTATTCCTACAGAGCTTTGAATTGGAACCCTCTCCTCTAACTGTAGATCTCTCCATAATAAGTCAGGATAAGTCTTCTACGTTTATTTGAAGGTTCAATCTGGCAAAATATAAAGACATATTAAAAACGAATAGATCACAGAAATGCTTAAGATAGTTTAATATCCAATAAATCTCATAATTGAATAAATCATAACATACTCGGCATTAAAAACTGTGAGGAAGACTATTTAAACGGAACATTTACATTATTTAATATATATAAAAAGGAACTCACCACGATGGTCCTCGGAATACAAGCACCCAATCATACGAACATCTGTATTTACTGTTAACATGAAAGTTTAAAGCATACTGAATATTCTAGAATACGGCGGCGTACAGTACAACAAGCCGGTTACATGACAAAACTGGAAAGTACGAGTTTTACCGACTCTTCTTTTGTTTCTAAGACAGCCGCTAATTGCAGGGATGAATACTGACTTCTACAGGGATAAATAGTTTATTTCCATTCGCTACGAAAGTTGCGAAACACGTTTTTTGAATCTTTGGCCAATGTTTGAATAAAAAAGCCTCATGGAAATTAAGTAATGGTGAATATATTTACAATAAAACAGTGTCAAAGGTATGCATCCATTTTAATTTTATCATTTTACAAGTGAACCTATTTAATATTACGTTTGGTATTAAATAACGAGTTCTTTTTCTCATGTAATTTTATTATTATTCATCATGACATAATTTTTAAAGGATAAAATCTTTTCTAAGAAGATTTGATCACGTTGAACACAAAGGATAACTGTTATGTTTTGTGTTATTTTCTTTAAAAACTGCACTTGTCAAATAGGATCCAGAGAAAATTCTGTAGATATAGCTTAAGAGAATTGTCAGTATTAATCTTCAGAAAACCCTTTTTGAATTCCCAGTGTTGAGATTGAATTTGGTTCCAATGTATGGACCGTGCATATTGTTTTATGCACATATTTAAACTGATGTATTCTGCAAACAAATTTTTCACAGCTCACAATTTCAGTTTGAAAAACGAGTTTACTTTTATTTTAAGCAATAATAAAACCACAATAATATATACAATTAACGCTCAACTAGTGGGATGACTTTGCGCCCTCTAAGCTCCCTTAGTTTTGATTTTAAGCCAAGGTAAAAGAAAAATAAATTTGTTTTTTGCATACATTTTTGTTATTTCGAATAGCTTTTCAATATGAGAATTAAGTTCTGATTGAAAACATATCAGATTTTAATCTCATTTGAAAATTTGATGTCAAATATGAAATTCAAAAATTTAACAAATGAGACTTGGCAGACTTTAAAGTGTCTTCTAGCATTTTGTATACCCCTGGTCACGGTGATTTCAAGCTTTAGATCAATTATTGGAAAAATCCTGATAAAGTTTTCCAGAAGCAAAATTCTGCGTCTAAGAAACATTTGAACTTTTGCACACTTTTGCGCGGAATTACTGACACGACTTTGCGACCTCGTTCTTTCTTTAGCTCTCATTTAAACTTACGGAGTTGTCTTTTTATATTTCTTAATTTAAAGCGCATCCGCCGCGCGACTAAAAACTCAAGTTTAAAACGCCAAATTGTTGGGATAAGGACCGAACTTATCAGTAAGCGTTAAAAATTATGAGTTTTCTTCAAAAACATATATTATAATATATATATCCAATTACTTAAAAGCTGATATAAAATTAGTTCTATTTTTTCTGTGTAATCTACGATCATGTTATTTCAAAATTATCATAAAAAATCAAAAATATATTTAAAATTTCTTTTTTTTTCTTCTTTTATCAAGAATTTGATAGATGTTGTTCATTTTAATGAAAATAAATTCATTTTACAGATTAGGTTAATTTTAAGACATTTTCTTTTTTAAAATATTAGAAACAAAAATTTTTTAATTTAACAATTCTTGGCGTCTGAATAGCGCATTGTCATTGAAAACCAATATTTTGAAAGTAAGAGTTTCATGATTTGAGTTATTTTCCATTGTATTAATGACAAAGTAANGGATTATTTGCATTCATTATTAAGAATTATGTTAATTTTTGCAAACAGTACACACCAATACTGATTTATTAATTCCTATTGTTTACTGTAGGAAAGGTTTTATTTAAATTTATTTTATTTAGTATTTTATAAAAAGAAAGATTGCTCACAAAACAAGAATATTAATCTTTAATTCGCATTGTTCATTTCTTGATTGATCAAAAGAAGATGTCAAATTAATTTTGTTCAAAAATAAAGATTTTTTTCTTCAGTTTGGCGAACCATTTTTTAGCTTTTTAAAGCCCGGAAAATGTTGACTCAATTAGGTTGCAAATCAAAATTAATGACACATTGTAAAGATTATGGCTTGCGCAAAACTTATTTAAACTAGGCTTAAACATCAAATTTTTTGCATTATTATAAAGAACACAAAAACATTTCGCTGATTTTCCCAATTTTATCATTATTTTTTTTCTTTAAAGTCCTTTTCTGCATTTTTAATTTTTAATCCAAAAACCTCTGGGGTCATATGAGAATATGTTCATAGTTTTAATGTCTGACAAAGATGCTGAGTTTTTGCCACAAATTCTAAATTTATAATCCCTCTATCTTTTCAACCCGATGTTGCTGACCTTAGATATTTTAAAATATGAGTTTTTTAGATCAAATAGTCTAGGTATAAAAAAGTTTTAAACCTTCAGGTTGCAAAGATGTAGGGATTTTAACAATCACGTTTTTAAAAAAACTCAAATCCGTTTCCATTTAAAAACATTGATCAAAGTTTTGTTTGTAATTATTTCTGTTTTTCTGTTTACACCAACTTACAGGTTTCAAAGATATAGGGATTAGAAAATTTGGTTTGTGGCAAAGAGATTTCCTTTAAAAATATATAGTTAATCCTTTAAAAGCTAAAAAGTTTGCTCTAATTGGATTGTACAAATCAAATTGTAGGATAAAAAACTTCTAGAATTTTCCCTCTATGAAGAAACTAAATTGATAGTATTTAATTTATTTCAAAATAAATTCCAGAGGACATACAATTTTTACAAAAATCTGGATGTCTATGAATATAATGAAAAAAATGTATTCTATTTTACTGTTTTAATTAATGTTATAACAATATTCTGCAGCGCAGTTATAAGGTTTCCTAAACTCTATATAGTGTTTTTCAATTCACATCACATTAGAGTAGAGTATAGTAGAGTAGAGTAGAGTTGAGTAGAGTAGAGTAGAGTAGAGTAGAGTAGAGTTAAGTAGAGTAGAGTAGAGTAGAGTAGAGTAGAGTAGAGTAGAGTAGAGTAGAGTAGAGTAGAGTAGAGTAGAGTAGAGTAGAGTAGAGTAGAGTAAGAAGAGTAGAGTAGAGTAGAGTAGAGTAGAGTAGAGTAGAGTAGAGTAGAGTAGAGTAGAGTAGAGTAGAGTAGAGTAGAGTAGTGTAGAGTAGAGTAGAGTAGAGTAGAGTAGAGTAGAGTAGAGTAGAGTAGAGTAGAGTAGTGTAGAGTACAGTAGAGTAGAGTAGAGTAGAGTAGAGTAGAGTAGAGTAGAGCAGAGTAGAATAGTGTGAAGGGTTCTGGTAAGATTGGATCCCGGTAATAAATTGTCATTTCATCGGTTCACAGTTCACACCAAAATACATAGAAATGGAAAACTCGGGGAACTATCGGAGGGTTGATGGAGACACTGTCGCGAAGGAAAGAAGTAGAAACTATCGTAGGGTAGAAGGAGAGGCTGTCGGAAGAAAAAAAGAGGAATCGTCGAAGGGTTTATGGAGCAAGTGTTTGAGGGTATTTGTAGGAACTGTCGGAGGGTAAATAGACGGCGTGTCGAAGGGTAAACGGAGGGAGTTTCAGAGGGTTTGGTAGATGAAGGAACTGTCGGAGGGATGATTGTAGCAGGAAATGTGTTAAGGAGAAGAAGACATTCAATCCTGTTTCAAGAATTTTGGGGAATTAGCAAGAGAATTGGAGTCAAAATAAATTGGGATGGAAGAAAGATATGAAGATAGGTTAAAACATGAAGATAGATTTAGATCATTAGAGATAAAGGAACATAATAGGACAAGTTACATGGGTGTTGGAAATTGAGATATGACGAATAATAAAACAGAAACAAAAAACACTCTCTGAAACTAAATTAAATATCCAAAACAATGAGGCCCTGAAAAAGTATGTTAAAAATTCAAATTTCATGAATTAATGATTAAATTGCGATTTGTTTTCCTTTTCAGAATGATGAAAGATGTGAACCTACATGAAGATCGAGATTTACAGATTTGTCTTGGACACATAACAGACTCCAGGCTCACACAACCAAACCCATCCATCCTTAACTCAGGTATTGGCTCATCCAGCTCAGGGTCTCGGGTCAGTCATTCCAGCTCATCCAACAATTGCTCAGATACCAGTCATCCCATCCGTTCTACAGATTCATCGTTTAGTCATCCTGCTCCCAGTAATAGCACAGATGTAAGACTAATGCAGGCTCAATCTCTTCTAAGCTCAGGCTCACGATTGAGTTATACCGAACCCATCTCCGACCCTCGACTCCAATATCCAGAATCCGCTCAAAATTCTGAATCCAGACTTACACACCATGACCCATCCAATCCCCGGATAATTCCCCGCTCCGATTCTCTTAAACCTGAATTAAATAATTCAGTCCAACCACCTGGTGGCACAAATATACTTCAAGTAAACCTAAACTCTGAATCCTGGATTCATCCGCCTCCGACAAATGTAGAAATTCATTCTGATTCACCTTTTATTTCTCCGCCCGCCAACCCTGTAATTTGTCCGCCGGAGTTTTCAGATTATAATGCGAGCAATCCAGCTTCTCCAGCCAGCCGATACAACATAAACCAATCCATCAATCAATCTGATACTCGTACAACTGAGATTAAACCTGTCAACTCTCTGCCATTCATTGTTCAAAACCAGCCCTGCTCATTTACCCACCCAGAGAAGTGGTCAATCCAACCAAACCCGTCACAGGACGCTAGAAGGCATTCTCAAAAAATCTCTAAAATTCATTCTGAAACTATCCGACGGCATTCTAACTATGAAAACTTAAATCAGAAAACAGATTCTAACTCACTAAAATCAAGTTTTAATCATCTAAATTTAAAATTTGATCAACCCCAATTAAGCGATGGAGAAAATCAATTAAAATCAAATCAAGAAGGAGTTAAAATTAAAACGAGCTTGGAATCAAATCTTTTAAATCGAAGTCACAACAACGTTTTCATCAGCCAAGAGAAATTTCCTCAAAACTACAGGTTTGAATTAAAAGATATCCACGATATCAAAGAGAACACGGAGTCAACAATTCTTTCATCACCTCATACCGAACCCTCTAGACATCACTGTCATTCTCATCATCACAATCTTACACAGGTTCATCCTATACCCACTCCTCAAACTGGATACCTGGAACACAAATCATCCAGTCCTAAACTAAACCTGGAGCAAGGATCATGGCATAAACTAGACCTGGTTCACAATTCCTCAAGCTGTAAAAAAGACCTGGAGCAAGGATCATGGCATAAACAAGACCTGGAGCTAGGATCATGGCATAAACTAGACCTGGAACAAGAATCAAGGTCTAAACTAGACCTGGAACAAGAATCAAGGTCTAAACTAGACCTGGAGCACAACTTATCAAGGTCTAAACTAGACCTCGAGCAGGGATCAAGGTCTAAACTAAACCTGGAGCAAGAATCAAGGTATAACCTAGACCTGGAGCAAGGATCAAGGTCTAAACTAGACCTAGATTTAGAATCAGAGGAAAACCAGACACTAGAACGGACTGAGACAAGGGTTTGCTCTTCTCTACAATTAGGCAGGAGGAAGAACTCAGGACACTCAATCATTTTCTAGTTTCAGTTTTACATATTTTTCTTTTTCTTAATAATTCCTTTATTTCTGGCTTTGCAGGGACTGTCGACGTGATCCCCCAATGAGATAAGAGAATGCCTTTAACAACACGACACTAAGCCTTTGTCCGAGCAGAAATTGTGGTTTCTTTACGAAAGCAAAAAGAATAAATGAAAATGTCAGAATTTAAAACTTTTTTATATAGAAAACCGATAATATCTTCTTCATTGTTGATCAGATAAAGGTTTATTTTAGATTTTCAAAATCCTGCTTTCAGCTTTCAGGTTAACTAACGGTTTTCCTTGAGTTTTGTTATCTTAATGTTTGATAAATACATGAAGTTATAAACTCCAGCTTTTATCTGGCCTCATGAGATTTAGCTATAACCATAGAGAGGAATTTACTAGAAAAAACTGTATAACGGCCATTTTGTTGTACTGTTTCCATACTGCAGGTGTACTTCACATATTTATGCAATATAACCTGTTGGGCCCTGGAATATCATTTTATAGAAAATCTAAAATTATTGTTATAAGAAAACCAGCACAGCACACTATACACAGTACACAGCAGTACACCGTACACAGTACACCGTACACAGTACACCGTACACAGTACACCGTACACAGTACACCGTACACAGCACACTATACACAGTACACCGTACACAGTACACAGTACACAGTACACCGTACACAGTACACCGTACACAGTACACCGTACACAGTACACCGTACACAGTACACCGTACACAGTACACAGTACACCGTACACAGTACACCGTACACAGCACACTATACACAGTACACCGTACACAGTACACAGTACACAGTACACCGTACACAGTACACCGTACACAGTACACCGTACACAGTACACCGTACACAGTACACCGTACACAGTACACCGTAAACAGTACACCGTACACAGTACACCGTTCACCGTACACCGTACACCGTACACCGTACACCGTACACAGTACACCGTACACCGTACACAGTACACCGTGCACAGTACACAGTACACAGTACACATTACACAGTACACAGTACACAGTACACAGTACATGGTACACAGTACACAGTACACAGTACACCGTACAGTGTGCAGTGTGTACAATAAGCAGTGTGCAGCGTGTACAATGTGCAGTGTGCAGTGTTTACAATGAGCGGTGTGCAGTGTACATTGTGCACAATGTGTAGAGTGCAGTTTGCAGTGAGCAATGTGCATTGTGCATTGTGCATTGTGCATTGTGTACTGTGTAATGTGCAATGTGCACTGTGCAGTGTGCACTGTGCAGTGTGCACTGTGCAGTGTGCACTGTACAGTGTGCACTGTGCAGTGTGCACTGTGCACTTTGCAGTGTGCAGTGTGAAGTGTGCAGTGTGCAATGTGTAGTGCAATAAAAGCAATCATGTTTTCTTGAAAATTATGCCAAGTACAGTTTGAAGAAGAATAGAATTTACGCCACTCTAGTTTCAAAACTTTGAAAACTTTCTCAAAAATACCGAACTTAAATTGCTTTAACAAGTTTTCGAGGTCAAATTTGGGGAGAAAGAGTTTGGGGGGCTGGGGGGGGGGATGGGTAATATTTTCTCAGGGGCAAATTACAACTTCCAGTCCCAGACACATTTTCCCAAGCACACATTTTGAAAATTACATATTCAATTTATTTATTCCAACTAATCAATTTTTCAGATACGTACTCCAAACTACGAATTGTTATACATGATAATTTTTTGCAACACCTAATCGTTAAAAAATTTACATCAATTAGTATTTCGGAAAATACCATTATAAGAAAAATCCATTATTGTTTTGGCATTTTCGGGAGACTTAATACATGATCTTGACAACATTACTCATCAAAGGAATAATGAAAGATAACTAATTTAAAGGGACTGTGAACGTAATTTCAAACAACCCTCCATTCATAGAGTGGCATGTTCGATTCACAACGCTGACATTAAAAGCGTTGTCTGATCAAGTATGAATTAAATATTTTAAGTATGAACATGAATAAAAATTTGCCATTTTATCACGCCAAATGGGTCTGAGAAATGTAAAAAAAAATGTCATTTCTTTTTAGTTTTGTCAAGCCAATAAGCACAAAAGAAATATAATTGGATTGGTATGCAAAGCTATATCTTTACTCCATGGGTAAATTAACTATATTATTTGGCGGATTTTCCTTGAAAAGTTACAAAAAAAGATTTGCTGAATATTGTTTATTGTAAAGGAATTCTGAGGTTTATAAATGCATAATTTTACGGATTTAATGCTAGAAAGCTTTTCAAATCAAGAGTTTTAGATTAATAACCTTAAATGGTCGGATTAGTTCAGTCGATTCTAGTATTCTTAAAACTTGTGGGACAGTAATCGTCAATATAAAGCAATTAAGCGTCGTCTTCAATTTTACTATTAACCGGAGATACCACTTTGTTTTTGCATTTAAAGATTCCGTTAAAAAAAAAAACAATATTTATTTTTAGAAAATCTTTTTTTTTATTATGTACAAGTTATACTAAAAATGCCACTTTTTTATTGCATTTAAAGATTCCGTTGAAAAACAAATTTTATTTTTAGTAAATCTGTTTTTGTATTATGTACAAGTTATACTAAAAGCGCCACTTTGTTATTGCATTTAAAGATTCCGTTGAAAAACTAATATTATTTTTAGTAAATACTGTTTTTTATTGTGTACAAATACTAAAGTATTTGTAAAAAGAAGAAAATTTGTGTTTTAAATAACTATACACGTTATAAAAGTATGCTTTTTTATAACTAACTTCACCTTCACCACTAAAATATATCTAGACAATTATGAAAGTCATGCATCAAATTTTTGTTCATCCTCGTCTTTAAAGCGCTGCAACAACTTGGGATTTTGTTGAACCTCTCAAACTCACTTATATCGTTCTTTGTAGCCCTAGTCATATACATTCTAAAACTTTAACGCGCTTGTTTCTAGCTTAAGTTTGAAAGGAGTGATAGGCAAAATATAACTCGATTTTTGCATGAGAGCGTCGACTTTGAAGTGTCTCAACGCCTTGGGCTTAGATTTTACCGCTCTGGCTCGCATATATTTTTCGGTAACCCTTTACATGTATATTTCATACATTTGGTTTTTAAGATTTAATTGGCAAAAATCTCATCTATTTTTGCTTGAGAGTGTAAGACCTTTAAACTACAGTAAATGCACTTCTTGGTTCTAAGTATAGGGTAAACTTATTTACAAATTTTTTTTTAAACGCCCAAAAGGGAATTGCAATTTTGACAAAATTTGTTTACAACTTTTTTTTTATTATCCTAAGTTCTGGTGCAGATAGAAAATTGGATGATCTGAAAGATCTGAATGAACTGAATGAACTGAATGAGGATGAAGAGGATGAGGATGAATCATCAGACAACAAACTTCTGATCATCCCACCCTTCTCTCCTTCCCAGTCATCCCTGTCATCCTTTCATCCTTTCCACTCCTCTCATCAGAAACCCCCCAGTCATCCTAACCTGGTTGACCGGCTCGTGAAGCTGGGTAGCCAGCCTCATCTATCTGACCGGCTTGGCAAACTTGGCAGTCAATCCTTTCTTCCAGACTTTATTACGCTCAACAATAAACCAAAAAGGTAAAAGGGACTAAAGCTCTTGTAGCCCCCCCCCCCTCCATGAGGACGCCTCTGTGTGCAACCTGATGGTGTAATTAAACAAAGTCAACTAATAAAACTACTGTACGCTAAGTTCATTCACAAATTATCAAGTACATGGTTACCCACAAAGGATGGAAGGTAAAGACGACCTAAAACTTTTCAAATATAACGATTCCATTTAAAGTTTTTTCCATTTAAATAGGTTATTCAATGATTTGGCGGAAAAAGAAAGAAGTTTAAACAGAACAGAAAAATACAGACATTTTAAATTCTGTACAGCCGTCTCTGAAGTCTCATCCTTTGTGAGTAACCCTGTATACTATTAAAGACTTTGAATGAAAAAAGCTTTCAAATCTCCAATTTACATGGTTTCAGTCCAGGTCGTCAAAAAAGTCTCTTGGTAACCCTGTAGTTCAAACACGTTTTTCTATTTGTAATATTTTATAATAATTAGATCCGTGCAACCATTGATATATCAACATTAAATATCTGATATTAGAAAATTTAAGTTTAGTCGACAAGTTATATAAATAAGTTTCAAATTACTAAATATAAATTCTGTTGGCCTGATATCCTTTATATCTATATAATCAGAGCTGGGAACTCTTGTATTGTGGATATCGAGATCAACGCTTGATTTTGATCTCTTGTTTATATCTGCAGATTAATTTAAGCTTTATTCGATATACACATGGTATAATCGTACCCAGTTAGGGGTTGAAGGAAGCTTTGACCAGAGGAGTAACATCGGAAGAGATTAAGCAGTGATCCTCAAATTAAAAGTGCCCACAGAGGATATCGAGGTCAAGCAATCGGGATCATGAGCATCCAACACAAGAGATTTTCAGGATAACATTTTAGGCAGAAAATTTATTGTGAAGAATAAAGTTTTTTTTATAATTTCATAGATTAATTTTGATTGGTTTAGAACTCCTTCCGAGCAGTTAGATGAAGACCTGGAGCTGGGTTCTCCGGGTTCCCCTCAGGAGACTATTCTTCCAACCCGGATACCTGGAGACCTAACCCTCGGGACTAAACCGGTCCGGGGATCATGCTTCAAAAACAGGAAATTCCAGATTTTATAAACAGTTGAGATTATGAACACAGATTAAATATGAAAACTTGTGAAAAATAACGCTAGGGAATATACTTTTAACAGTCAACTGAATTTCAAGTAATCTCCCCCCCCCCCCCCCCCCTCCCCTTCAATTTTCAGAGTTAAATTACAACTTTAAAAAACACTTTTGAACCTTTTTCAGAGTAAAAATTGATGGAGATATCTTTGCTTTTATATCTGAAAATTGATAATTTGTAAGTGCTTTCGGCAGCAGAGACAACTAGAAAAAATCACATTGTAATTCAAATAAAATTTTGAGAACAGTTGTAAATCATGGATGTAAATTTTGAATGGCGGGTATTTTGAAACTTTAAATCAATTCATTTCTGAAAAACCTAAATCCTCCCCCCTCTTTCACCGGTGTGGTACGGGTTAAATCCTTCCCCCCTTTCACCGGTGTGGTACAGGTTAAATCCTTCCCCCCTTTCACCGGTGTGGTACGGATTAAATCCTCCCTCCTTTCACCGGTGTGGTACGGGTTAAATCCTCTCCCCTCTTTCACCGGTGTGGTACGGGTTAAATCCTTCCCCCCTTTCACCGGTGTGGTACGGATTAAATCCCCCCTCTTTCACCGGTGTGGTACGGGTTAAATCCTTCCCCCCTTTCACCCGTGTGGTTGCAGGTTAAAAAATATTGTTGTCATTTTTTAGAAATCAATGTCTATTGAGACTTTTTTATTAGTTTTATTCTGTCTTCGTGTATATGATGTATCTATAGCTGGTATAGGAAGGAAGGATTACTCTTGTTTATTTACTATATAGTGTTCACATGAATAGAGAAGGCATTGAAAGTAATTGATGAATAGATTTATGTTTATATTGAAATATCAAAAGAAGGAAAAAGATAAACCAGAATTTGTTTATACAAATATACAGAAATGTATACAGGGCGAGCAAAAAAGCTGGAATAATCAAGATTTAATAATTCTATTAAAAGTTTTATGATGATTCGGGTTCTAGGTTTATAAGAAAAAATTACAGTTTTTAAAATTAAGAAATACTATAATTAATTTTCACAAAATTTTCACAAAATGATGCAAAAGTTTGTCTGGAAGATGGCTGCACTTTTTAATATAATTTTATTTTTTTGCTTAATCTCTAATTTCAGGTCATTATACAATTTTTTCAACTTTTATAAAAAAAATATTATATCTATCTATCTTCAAATTATTATAATAGTGGATAGCTTAGTGCCAATATTTACAAAAGTTTCCCCCTCAAAGTTAAAAAAGAGAGAAAATGCCGTTTCTCTCTCTAGGGCATTGTTTAGCGATGAAAAAGGCTTAGTTTAAAACCTGTCAGCTCAAGTTCAAGAAATTATGTTTTTTTACTAACCATGGCACAATTCCGATCCAAAGGAGAAAAATATTTCTAAAATTTCTTTAAAATTTTTTTTAATCTGGTTTCACTGATCCAGGGTGGATTCATACAGTGGATCTTTGTGTGATGCTTATATCAGGAAAATATTTTAATAAAGTGAAGAGGGAAGGTGGACAAGGGCAGAAGAAACAAGTTGTTATCAACACAGATCGAAATACACAAAGCTACGGACATCTTTCAAAGACCAAAGGTAAGCATTAAAGGAACTATTGACGTAATTTCAAGTGTCATTAAGTTTATAGATTATAACTTGCATACAAAGTTATTAACAATAAAAAGCGTTGCACTACGTTAGCACTCAAGTTTCTGTTTGAAAAATAAGGATAAATCAGTCATCCTCATCCTCAGGGTCGCTTAAAATTATGTCTACAGGCCCTTAAAAAAAAAATTATTAAACATTTTTGATTCGTTAAAATGGTAAAAATGAAGCAAGTTATTGTAGATTTGTATTTTTTGCTCTTTATTGCCAAATATATTGAGTTTACGAGGTCTAGCAGATAAAAAGTAATAAACCAATTTACAATGGATTAGTATTTTTATATAATATAATTATTTATTTTTGTAACATTCCTTTTGTGAACAGAAATTCATAAAACATTCAGAAATGCGACTAATGAATTCTTCAAGATAATATGATATTTATTATTTATATTAATATTATTAATATATACAAGTGTTTATTAGCAGTCAATATAAGATTTAGGGTAAATCAGATACTTTCACTTTAACATTAGGCACAAATTTGAGACTTTTAAATGGGGGGGTGTTTTTGTGATGTGTGTTTGTGACTGTTTTAGTATTCCCATAAATCAGTTATGGCAGATTTGGCAGAATCTTCTCTACTCTACAGTTTACACAAGTTCCATCAGTTTAAATTAAAGTTCAGATAAAAACTGTTTTTCTTCATTTGTTTTATATCCTGTATCCTGTACTTAGTGTCCTTTATTCTTTATCCTGTATTCCCTATCCTGTATCACGTATCCTGCATCCTGTATCCTGTATCCCCTATCCTGTATCAGGTATCCTGCATCCTGTATCCTGTATCCTATAACCAGTGTCTTTTATTCTGCACTTGTATCATGTGTTATGTATTTAGTATCCTAAATACAGTATCCACCTGTATCCTGTATTTTGTATCCTGTATCCTGTATCCTGTATCTTATATCCTGTATTCTGTATCGTGTATCATATATTTAGTATTCTGCTCAGCTGATCCGAATTTTTCTAGTTCAGGTTTTGGTTTGCCTGCTTTTGTATAATTTTTCCTGATAAGAGACTCGGTATTGGTTCTGCATTTCCTTGGAAAAGCACGGGGAACGATTCCACCAGCTTCTATAATTATTTGTTATTTCAAGCTTTTAGCTAAAACAAGCTTTACAATACTGTATGTATTGTATGTATTGTATGTATTGTATGCATTGAATGTATTGTATGTATTGCATTGTATGTATTGTATGTATTGTTTAGTATTTATTGTATGTATAGTATGTATTGTATGTAATGATTGTATTGTATTTATTGTATTGTATTGTATGTACTGTATTGTATTTATTGTATTGTATTGTATTGTATGTACTGTATTGTATGTATTGTATTTTGATGTTTTGTATGTATATAATTTACATAAATTATATAAGAATGAAGGATGCAGAAAAAAGTGAAATTTATGGCCATAAGTTATTTGCGGTGATTTTTTTAGAGTGATTTCTTCGAAAGTAGAATGGGGAAGGGGAGTTTAAGGGGGGGGAGTAATGTTTATAAATATTTTAGTTTAAATATTAAATTGAAGTGAGTTCAAATCTCCTAATTCTCGTCTCTCCTCTACACAATACAGTTTCTCATTAGGAATACATCATTAAAAATAATTAATATAATAATAAGAACAACAATATTAAGTACAATCATTACAGACACAAAATATCTAAATAATAGAGGTGTTAATCATTTTTTCAACAATTAATAATCACAATGTTTTCAAAAAGTACTTTAAATACGTGGAAAACAGACTTTCCAGCAAAAATATTATGTTAAAACTTGTAAGAAAATCAAATTTCTAAGAAAAAATATTATTAAACCAAAGAATGTTTAAAAATACTTCATTTGATATCAGAAACTATTCTAAAAGTTTTGAAAGTATTATATATATATATTGTATAAAGTTTGAGTAGGCTAACTAAACTGTCTACTCTGTGTGTAAATAGATGTAAAAAAGTTTGGCCGAGAATATCTCTATTATCCCACAATATCCATAACATTTATCAAAATGATAAAAAAAACACTTTGAAAAATATCTTTATTCAGTAAAAATACATTTATGCAGCACAGGGTGTATCAAAATATTAGTTTTTTTAATAAATAGTAAAACAAGTAATCTCTGTAGGAACCACAAAAAATGTTTAAACCATCATTTCATTGTGTTTTTCATATCAACATCTTTGTAAAAAAATACATAGAACATTCTTTTTTTTCTTAAAGAATTAAAAATAGGTGATCCCTGTAGTCATATTTTACTAATTTTCTTACCTATTTATCTTTTGAAGCATGATGGTATAAACCTTTAATATTTCAAACTTAGATTATTTGATTTAACAAAATTCATAGTTTCAAGTATCTTTGGTTTTATAAATTCAGCTAAAAAGACGTTTTTGTCCGAAATATTACTTCCTTTTATTTATTTTATAATTTTTGCGCAATTTTTGAAGTTTTTAAAGAAAAATGTCATTATGAATTTTTGCACTAATGGTGGCTGAAAAACAATTACAACCATGTAACCACTTTTTTTATGAGAATTTCATTCCTTCAAGATTGGCTGAAAATGCCTATTACCATAAAAATGTTTGAGAAAAGAAATGAGATTCTTTATTTTTATTACGTGTGCATTTCTTTTAATGCAAGAAGAATACTCAGACTTGGGGGGAGGGATTAAGCTGAAGGGGGGGGGGGGTATATTAATAATTATTCTTAATTTTACTGATGGTTTGACTCCTCTAGAACGGATAGACACCTCAAGGCAGAAAAGTACAAGAAACGCTGAGACCCAAACTATCTCAACCCTAAGTGATAATAGATTTGAGATATCTAGATATGGGGCTCAGGAGATTAGAACTTTAAACTTTAATCTCTCAGATAAAGCGAGATCTTTATCTTCAACTAGTGATGAGATTCAAGGAGTACAAAGAGATTCAGTTAAAGGGAGAGATGTTCAAATTAGTGATTTTGAGATTCATAATGGACAGGACATGGAAATACATAGAGGGAAGGTGGGGAACGGGGGAGTTGTATATACACACATATTTTGAAGACCCTGAATATATATATGCGTAAATACACATATATTTTGTACATCATCTTGCTTCCGATCAGTTTATCCTTGTTTCTATGCTATATACTCGTAATATATATTTTATATATCTACTATATTAGACAGTGTAAACTATAGAATACAAATTATTGAAGATTACACTGCACTAAGCTCATACATCTTCCCCATCATCAACTTCAATTCACTTCCATATACAATTAAGAATTTATGAACTGATGAGTTGCTAAATTCATGAACTAGATATATTGAGGAATTGATGAATTTGTGAATTAATAAATTAATAAATTGATGAATTTTTAAATAAATAAATAAAACAAATTTATGCATAGATAAGTCATTTAGTCAAACGCTTTTCTCAAGTTCAAAGTTTTTTAGTTTTGTTTTATTATTCTACATTTATTCGATGAATGAAAATGGTTGAATTATTCTTGGTTTACTACAAGGAGAGGAGAATGGGAAAAAGAAAGATGTCCCTCTCAAATCCTCTCTAAAAAGCACTTGCTTCGACAACGAATTCAGGAAAATTTAATTATTTTGTAAATCAATTAATTTGATTAAATAATTAATAAAATATGATAAATGATAATATTCGGAATACAGGGCAGGAGGGGGGGGGGGGGATTACAAAATAGATTTGCATAATTTATTCAAGGATTGGAGAATTATGAAGTACAACTTTGTCTGACGTCATAGAATTATTTGGTTTGGTTTATTTATTAGTATTTACAGCTTCACAGCCTTTTCAAGAACTTTAAGAAATATTTGTCAATGAGTTAGTTACCTGACCGATTCACAACAGTTTCTATTTACTTTATCTGAGTATCAACTATAGAGATATCGTCGCTATTCAGTCTGGACAATTGAAAATGATACATTTTCGAAAGGAAAAAAGGAAATTTCCATCATTTTTACCCAGAGAAAGGTTTAACGTTATCATTGTGAATCTTTGAATCGATATCACTTGTATTTACGTATTAGTCAGAACTCAGTTTATTCCTTTAAATTTTCACGATAATTCCCTTTTCAGTAAATCGTCTTACTTCTCAACAAACTTTAGGAAACATTGTTGTTTTATGTGAATGAGACATGGTTCAAAAATGTTTATGTGAATGAGACATGGTTCAAAAATGTTTATGTTTTTCAATTCTTTTCATGTATAATGTATTTAGAGAGATCTACTTCAACACAATATAAGAAAAATATTTTTTTAAGAATAGAAACCTACACACTTATTTTTTAATAAATAAAGTACGAAGACCAATTGAGCAATCAATCAATCGAGCTGTAGAATTTATGCAGTATCAAATGTCCACAGTGGGTTTACATAGACTAGACCAAACATCGATTTGTATTTCTGCAATAAATTAATTAATTACATTAGTTTTTTTACTTAAACAATGGTTTTTATTATTCGTTATCGCTCGAATTTACATTTTACACAAGCCATAAAGTTATGCCAATTTGTATAGCAAAAAAGATTGAGATAACGCCCTACTCTAAGCCCACTGTGCATCATGTACATAAAGGTTGCGACATTAAGCACTTTCAAACGACATGTACCGGCTTATCAGACGCGTCAATGATACTTCTGTGCTAACTGTGCTGTTACGCAGACATAATATTCATTAACGGCGGTTCGCATTTAGTACATGAATTAAGAACTGCAGTATTGTACTGCAGCATTTAAAGTACAAAATTAGTATCCAGCTCCTACTATAAACTCATGTTGATTTCAAATACCAATAAATCTCAGCGCTAAGAGTTGGATCTTTTACACGCAAGTATAGGAAATCAACTGAAGGGAAACCAACTGTTGATATCTCACAGATGAGAGAGTACATGTTCCGAAACTACGCAATTTCCGGGAATATAGTTGCAGACATTATAGGCACTAGAATAGAGAGCTTATAAACTGACAGAATTAATACATTTAAACCCTAAAATTATTAAGATTATTGTCATTATGATCTTTTTCGCGTTTGAACTAGGGTTTCTACAAGAAGAAAAGTTAATTTTGCGAAGGCAAGCTAAAAAAAAGATCGCTTAAGATTTGCTAGAAAATTGTGCAAAAAACTTTTTTTTCATAGAAAATATTTGTCTTAGTTTTCACATTTTTGTTTGCGCACCCGGTGCAGTTTGTGCGAAATACAAAATTTGCGTTGCAAAAAGATTTGTGAGGAACGATTTTTCCATTTAGCTGGAAAGTCTAGTTTGAACCAACCAATCAATATTTCTCCGGTGGAAACCAAACTAATTTTAATCACACTTATAGTACAATTTATGCTTTTAATTACTTTATTTTTAATTCTAACCTCCTCTTATTAGCTTCATACTTCCTCTAGTCATTGGATTTTATTATTTCTCCTTTTTCAAAATTGGAAAATTTCCTTTCTTTCTTTCTGCAACTTTAAAAAGTGTTATTTCAGATTAAAACTTGTATCCAATAAACGTCAAAACGGCTGAACCGATCGGGCCACGATTTTTTGTGGGACATCACGTGACCCTAGGGAAGGTTTATGGATGATCGAAATTTCAAAAAATTTCCATAAAAATTCTTTTTTAAAAAAAATTTAAATCCACGAAGTTTTTTTTATAAATTCTACGAAATTTTTGTTTGTTTTTGTTTTACAAGTTACACAAAGAAAACATGCTCACAATTAAAATAGAAGAAGCCTAGTTTTATACGTTTATCTTAAAGTAGATGAAGTCTTTTACGCCATTTTAGACTAACTTTGAATTATAGATAAAAATATGACTGAAAATATCTATAGACAATATGTACTTTGTGAGTAGTTGTGTTCGAATTATCAAATTGCGGGCCTCTCCACCGGAATGGCGTAAATTGCGTAAATTGCGTAAATTGCTTCCGCCTAGTAAATAAATGCTGAGAAGAGCCAAAATAAATTACTCAACGCGTAAAGGAATGTTTTATGATGAAGAATTTATATTAATATATCGCACACATGTAGCACATAATCCTAGAAGGGGATGAACCCATTGGTGTAATTTTCTGTTTTGTATCTGTAGTCTATAGTTGTGTATTTTAATAGATAAATCACCGTTTATAAAAGTTACGATTTTTTTCATACAAAAGATTAGTAAATTCGTTTTCCTATTTAGAATTTAGAAGTAAAAGTATTTATTTTCTTTAACAAACAAAAACAAGAGAATTAAAATTTAGTTTTAAATTCTTTAAAAAGAAGAAAAAAATTCCTTTTCTAAAAACTGTTTCTTCTTACAGGTTCAAAAGGTGAAGAATTGTTGTTTCACTGTTAATATGATTTTTTTCAGTTTAAAACATTTTTCTAATATATTTTTTTGAATAAAGAAAATACAAACGCAACGTTTTTGACTTTATTTTAAATTTCAAATTCTTAATTAGTTACAAATATTATTTTGATTAGATTTGTTTTGTTTTTAATCTTCACGGATTAATTCTTCTCTAAACCTAACTTTCAATGGCTTCTTAACAGAATTCAAATCATAATAAGTTTTATGTGTGAAACATTTTATTACTTTACAAACCGTATAAAATTTTTTTTTCCCATTTAGTGTTTATTTTTTACACTTTTCCCATTCAGTGTATAATTTTTACACTTTTCCCATTCAGTGTATATTTTTTACACTTTTCCCATTCAGTGTATATTTTTTACACTTTTCCCATTTAGTGTATATTTTTTACACTTTTCCCATTTAGTGTATATTTTTTACACTTTTCCCATTTAGTTTATATTTTTTACACTTTTCCCATTCAGTGTATATTTTTTACACTTTTCCCATTTAGTGTATATTTTTTACACTTTTCCCTCGCGCTTTTTGCGTATATACATTTTTAAGAAAAAAATGTAAATATATCTATTTCTTTATATTGAACAGATTTTTTACAGTGCCATTTTTTATTAGTAATTAATTGTACTGCGTATAATCTCCTGAATTTGAATTGTCAAGTAATTTTACAGTAAATTTACAGTTATTTTACAGTAAATTTACAATAATTTTACAGCAAATTTACAGTATACTAGAGTTTTAGAGCGCTTCGCGCCCATCTTCTATTTAAATTGTAAACATGTTCTTTTTGTTTACATTTAAACACAAAGAAGAAAAAAACTTTTGCGGATTTTTAAAAAAAAATTCAAGGATTTTCAAGAATTCAAATTTTTTTACAAAATTAAAAACCTTTAAAACACATTTTTAAAATGTTTATCATTCGTAAACCTTCCCTGGGATAACGCGAGGTGCCACAAAAAATTTGGGCCTGATAGGTTCAGCCGTTTTGACGTTTATTGTATACAAACAGACAAATAGACAAGCCAAATTTATATATAGAATAGCCTTAGAGGGCGCTTCGCGCCCATCTTCTAAATTAATTGTGAACATGTTCTTTTTGTGTACATCGTAAAACAAAACAAAAATAATTCGCTGATTTTCACAAAAAATTTCGTGGATTTTCAAAATTTTCAAAAAAATAATGAAGATCGAATTTTGATGGAGACAAATATTTAAAATTTTAATCATTTATAAACCTTCCCTGTGGTCACGTGATGTCCCACAAAAATTTTGGACCCAATCGGTTCAGCCGTTTTGACGTTTATTGGATACAAACAAACAAACAGACAAACAGACACCCAGACAGACAAGCCAAATTTATATATAGATGAGAGTGTTAAAAAGTAGTGTGGGACTTTTACAATGTGAGAAGTAAAGTACTTTAGCAATAGTTATTGCAAATCTAATGTACTGCGCAATAGAAGATTTATAAGAATCTGGATTCTCAATCGACTGTTTTCATTTTTCATTCTCTTATTCATCGTTTTACTTTAAAAAAAACATTTTATTCCTTGTCTGTTTGTTTGTTGGGCAGGTGCGAGGAATTTTTAATAAAAATATATACTATTATTATTCTACAAAAATTTGTCGCGTCAAATATAGTTTCTTGTCACATGTCCCTGACCAAAAATTTCCGAAATTTTGTGAAAATGTAGAACATTCATGAAAATTGTAAACTAAACTTCGTGTGTAGGAACTAAAAATGATGCATTATTAGTTCAGAATGGAAAAAACAATGATGCACCAGGGAAAAAATGATACATTAGGAATAACAATGATGCGTTTGGAAAAAACACTTATACATTAGTAATAAACACTGATGCACTAGAAATAAACAATGATGCATTAGGAAAAAATAGTGATGCATTAGGAATAAACACGAATGCACTAGGAATCAACACTAATTCAAAAGGAACAAACATTGATGCATTAGGAATAACGATGATGCATCAGGAGTAAATATTAATGCACTAGGAATAAACACTAATTCAAAAGACACAAACATTGATGCCTTAGGAATAACAATGATGCATCTGGAGTAAATATTAATACATTTAGAATAAACAATGATGCACTAGGAACAAACAATGACGCATTAGGAATAAACAATGATGCACTAGGAATAAACAATGATGTACTAGGAATAAACAATGATGTACTAGGAATAAACAATGATGCACTAGGAATAAACAATAATGCACCATGAATAAATGATAATGCACTAGGAAGAATAAACAATAATGCGCTAGGAATAAACAATGATGCACTAGGAATAAACAATTATGCATTAGAAATAATCAATGATGCAATAGGAACAATCATTGATGCATTAGGAATAAACAGTTATGCATTAGAAATAATCAACGATGCACTAGGAATAAACAATTATGCATTAGGAAAAATCAATGATGCATTATGAATAAATGATAATACATTAGGAATTCAATTACTCTAAACCATAGTGCCATACAAAACCTCATCTAATGGTAAGTTTGTATAAAGAGAAAACTAGAATAAAGTAGTTAAAAACTTCTAGATGAATCTGCTCCATACCTCTAGAAAACTTCTAGATGTGTCTACTCTATAACTCGATAGAAAACTTTATACCTCTAGAAAACTTCTAGATCTGTCTACTCTACAACTCGATAGAAAACTTCTAGATGTTTCTACTATACACCTCCACAGAAAAATTCTAGATGTTTCTACTATACACCTCCATAGAAAACTTCTAGATGTGTCTACTCTACACATTTAGAAAACATTTAGATGTGTCTACTTTACACCTCTAGAAAACTTCTAGATGTGTCTACTCTACACCTCTAGAAAACTTCTAGATGTATCTACTCTACACCTCTAGAAAAGTCTAGATGTTTCTACTTTGCAACTCTAGAAAACTTTTAGATGTTTCTACTCTAAACCTACATAGAAAACGTCTAGATGTGTCTACTCTACACCTCTAGGAAAGTTCTAGATGTTTCTACTATACACCTCTAGAAAACGTGTAGATGTGTCTACTCTACACCTCTAGAAAACATCTAGATGTGTCTACTCTACACCTCTAGAAAACTTCTAGATGTGTCTACTCTACATCTCTAGAAAACTTCTAGATGTATCTACACTACATCTCAATAAAACGTCTTGATGTGTCTACTCTACACCTCTATTAAACGTCTACATGTTTCTACTCTACACCTTGATAGAAAACTTCTAGATGTTTCTACTCTAAACCTCTAGAAAACTTCTAGATGTGTCTACTCTACACCTCCATAGAAAACTTGTAGATTTGTCTACTCTACACCTCTAGAAACTTCTAGATGTTTCTACTCTACATCTCTAGAAAACTTCTAGATGTATCTACTCTACATCTCAGAAAACGTCTAGATGTTTCTACTCTACACCTCTAGAGAACTTCTAAATGTTTCTACTCTACACCTACATAGAAAACGTCTAGATATGTCTACTCTACACCTCTAGAAAATTTCTAGATGTTTCTACTATACACCTCTAGAAAACGTGTAGATGTGTCTACTCTACACCTCTAAAAAACATCTAGATGTGTCTATTCTACACCTCTAGAAAAATTCTAGATGTGTATATTCTACACCTCTAGAAAACATCTAGATTTGTCTACTCTACACCTCTAGAAAACTTCTAGATGTGTCTACTCTGCACCTCTAGAAAACTTCTAGATGTGTCTACTCTACACCTCAAGAAAACTTCTAGATGTATCTACTCTACATCTCTATAAAACTTCTAGATGTATCTACTTTACACCTCTAGAAAACTTCTAGATGTTTATACACTACACCTCTAGAAAACATCTAGATGTGTCTACTCTGCACCTCTAGAAAACTTCTAGATGTGTCTACTCTACACCTCAAGAAAACTTCTAGATGTATCTACTCTACATCTCTATAAAACTTCTAGATGTATCTACTTTACACCTCTAGAAAACTTCTAGATGTTTCTACTCTACACCTCTAGAAAACTTCTAAATATTTATGAAAACAATGTTAAATTCTAGTGTTGGAGTCAACTTTTAAGGTTGGGGGGGGGGGGGGTTATGGGAGAAAATCACCAGAAGGAATAATTGGAGGAGTGGATGAACAAATCCGGTTGATTGGAGATGTCTTATCTATAAAATGTCCTCTCTGTGAAATGTTTTCTAGTCCCAACAGGATATGCCTGTATATCAACTATCTATCTATTCAGCATTTCTATCTATCTATCTATCTATCTATCTATTTTTGATTCCTAGTATCCCGTAAATTTGCTCATCATTTATTTTTGTTTACTTGGTTAGATTGGAACCCTACTTCACTGTATTACCTAATATTGGATTGTTTATTTACAACAAAAATGATGCACTAGGAATAAACAATGATACATTAGGAATAAACAATTATGCATTAGAAATAATCAATGATGCACTAGGAATAAACAATTATGCATTAGGAAAAATCAATGATGCATTATGAATAAATGATAATACATTAGGAACAAAAATGATGCACTAGGAATAAACAATGATACATTAGGAATAAACAATTATGTATTAGAAATAATCAATGATGCACTAGGAATAAACAATTATGCATTAGGAAAAATCAATGATGCATTATGAATAAATGATAATACATTAGGAAAAAAATGATGCACTAGGAATAAACAATGATACATTAGGAATAAACAATGATACATTAGGAATAATCAAAGTCATTAGGAATAATCAATGATACAGTATGAATAACAATGATGAATTGAGAATAAACAATGAAGCACTTAATAAGTAAACATTAGGAATAAAGAATTGGTGATTTTAATGGAATTAATTTTTTCGTCAAATTTCTAGCTTCTCTTCTTTTCTCTGCGTTTCCCACCATTAATTTATAAAACTAAGATCTGCAGCAAGAGAAAACCTTCCCTGCTTTTTCCCACTGCACATATATGCAAGTGCAGCCATCCNGGGAGGATGTTGGCTAGGTGTAGACTGCCCAGTAAGCACAGATCAGGTAGAGAAAAATTCTGGGTTGACGCATCTGACAACTTGGTGCCTCTCGATGGAAAGTGTTCAATGCCTAAAAAAACGCAATATTAGAATCTCCATAATTACTGAGACTAAGTTCTTGCTACGCTCCCTCCCCGGACCCTCTGGACACACTGTGGAGAGTTGTGCAGACAATAATAAACCCCAAAATATGCACCTCGATTGATTGATTAGCTCGAAATATACACCTCGATTGATTGATTAGCTCGAAATATACACCTCGATTGATTGATTAGCTCGAAATATACACCTCGATTGATTGATTAGCTCGAAATATACACCTCGATTGATTGATTAGCTCGAAATATACACCTCGATTGATTGATTAGCTCGAAATATACACCTCAATTGATTGATTAGCTCAAAATATACACCTCGATTGATTTATTAGCTCAAAATATACACCTCGATTGATTAATTAGCTCGAAATATACACCTCGATTGATTGATTAGCTCGAAATATACACCTAGATTGATTGATTAGCTCGAAACATACACCTCGATTGATTGATTAGCTCGAAATATACACCTCGATTGATTTATTAGCTCAAAATATATACCTCGATTGATTGATTAGCTCTAAATATACACCTCGATTGATTGATTAGCTCGAAATGTACACCTCAATTGATTGATTAGCTCGAAATATACATCTCGATTGATTGATTAGCTCAAAATATACACCTCGATTGATTGATTAGCTCGAAATATACACCTCGATTGGTTGATTAGATCGAAATATACACCTCGATTGGTTGATTAGCTCGAAATTTACACCTTGATTGATTGATTAGCTCGAAATATACAGCTGTATGCAGGTGTATGCAGGTGTATGCAGGTGTGCGATTTGTAAATCTCGCCCAAGCTGCATGGGCAGGGCGGTCCGTGTCAACGTGGCGTCTTTATTTAAGTGACATGTGACAGTAAAGTGCAGTACAGTACAATACATGTACCATCTTCAAGTAAGATATTTAAAGCAAAAAACCCTTACTATTTGATTAAGTTAAAATTAGTTGAAAGTAAAATTAGAAAATAGTTTTCTCAAAATTGTTCAGATTAACAATAAGCTTACACTAAAATTATATTTTCTAATCTAAACCTAAAATTTAAAATTTCTATTGATAATTTTCAAAATAAAAGTGGTTTAGTAAGTCACCAAAATCAATATAAAAATTAAACCGTCCGATTTAATATCATGTGATCCTCAATTTATACAAAGTTTTAAAGGTTACCATTCTGAATCGGACATATTAATCTTTAATTGTGAGGTTGCTTATTAGGTGGACACTGGACAACTCCTTTAGGATTCAGAATAAAAGTTTTAAACCGAAAACGATTCCTTTGTTTAACGATTTTTTTATGTTTTCAACTTGTTTCCTCGCCATAACGACCACAATACAAAAGATTTTTAGAAAATATATATATTTGTCCAGAAACAATGATAAGTTTGAAGTTTCAAACTTCCTTAAAAATAAAAAGTTGAATTTTATTTTGCACTTATTTCCGCCAAAAATGATAAACATTTTCTTACTATTTATACTGTCAAACAAGGTACTAATGCAAGGAAAGTTAATTGCGGTCGCGTATACTTTGCGTACATAGTGAAACCAGTTCTCTCTGGGCGGACCTTGTAAACAAGAATAGATGCATCAGTGTTCGTTTAGTATCCGAGGTTGTTAAAAGCATTTAATTTTAACAATTTTTAAAATTCACATATTAGTTTCCTATGACCAGAATATTTCATTGATTATTTTCGTGAAAATGGATTCCATATCCAGGCTGTGACATCCGTCTTGTGTTTACTTTTCCGCCCAAAGACAGTACACTGCAAAACAAAAGATGCGCACACCTTTGAAATAACTTTCCTTGTATTAGTACCTTGCTGTCAACTAAAAGTCTTAAAACCCGATTTAGTTTTGATTTGAATTTAATCCGGGTAAATGCTGTGATCCTCTCCGAATTAGTGTAGGACCGGTTTATAACCTTATACAAGCAAAGGCACATTTTTTCTAAACTTTTCTTTCTTACTTTTATAAGAAATAATTACAATAAAGTTTGAGACGTGCGTCATGAAATTAAAAATAATAAGTAGATTAAAAAAAAAATAATTAAATTTTTGAAACCAGTGAGATAGTTAGCGAAGGAGTAGATGAAGAAGGAGAGAAAGAAGGAGAAGGAGGAGGAGAAGGATGGGAGTCAATTGACTCCTACGAAATGGTTGAATATGGAATCAATCCTTTTAATTCTTCACCAACACTTAAACACTCCAGGGACATTTTTCATCATTATCATTATTATTATTATTATTATTATTATTATTATAAATATTATTATTATTTTATTATTATTATTATTATTATTGTTTTTAAATCATCCGGCCTTATTTAATCTTAAGAAGCTTTTTGATTGGTAGAATTATTGAATAATAGATATTGCAAAAATATTCTTTATAAATGCAATGTTTATCTGTCAGGCACTATTGCATGATCATTAATTCAGGGGAAATTAGTTCGGAACTGTTATATTGAGCCAGACCTCACTTTATTCTAAATATCAATTTAGAATTTAGAATTTTTAAGTGTTTTATATTTTCAGCTAATGAATAAAATGTCTAATCGTTGAGTTTGTTGACCTCGTCAGTCATCAAGCTTTCAAAAACGTTGAAAAAAAGTTTAAGCTCTAAGTTTCTTATTACATTATGGGAAAGTCAATAGATTTAAAGGGGCTGCATCTGTGGGACCCTTTATATATAGAATGGTATATCCGATTACTAATAGTACCCTGAAACTTACATCTATACTTAACGATATATATTTCTTTGTTGCAAAACTTTCAATTGTGGGTTTTCTACAAGAGGGACTTACAGGTTTATGCAATAGAAAAAAAGATGGTAATTCGCAGAATGTCACACTAATTAACGATAAAAAACTGAAGATATATATCCAATTGCTACTCAGGTAAAGATAAAGGGTACCATTGTGAATAAAAATATTTAATTGTGAAGTCATTCTAAATTGTGTTTACAGTTCCAAGAAGCTGAACCAGGCGTAATGCTACGAACTAATCCTTCCTTAGCTGGGAACTTTAGAATGGGATACCTTTAATCCTGACTGCTTAATCCGAATAGACACTTTTAATTTCTTGCTTAATCCACTCTTTTTTGGTTATAGTACAGAAAAAATCAAAGACCACTTTTTCAAAAGTAGAGAGAGTCCTTCCCGCCTCTTTATATTAATCCTAATTAAATAAGGAACTCTCATTAAATGGCGCGCAAAATTTCAAAATTTCCCCGGCTTCTGATACGCCACTCTGATTGGTTGAATTTTATTCACTTTTCAGGATACAAACACAAGAGTAGGTTAGTCTCGAGATTAAGAAAAAGAAAGGATCAAGCATTAATCACAATATCCACCATTCTTAAGTTCCCAGCTCTGCACACTGTATTTCCGCCGTCCAAAAGCATCCTTCCTCGTAAGTATTTCTATTGGAAAGTTTATATGCAGTAAATGATAAACTGCATGATACGAGGGTTAAAATTCCTATATCAGAGAGAAAAAATACATTTCTAAGGCAGTAGGGTCGAAATGTCAAATGACCCTAGTGACTTAGCAATAAACTTTTACTTTTCTAGATAATAATTTTAACCACCGTAATTCATGTAATATATAATATACTGCATGTCAACTATCTCATAAAGAAATAAATCATCCCACAAAGAAGTTAAACTGCCTTTTCAAATACTAGGCTTTTCGGGCGCTTTGCACCCATTTTTTATTTCAATTGTGAACATGTTTTATTTGTGTACATTGTAAAACAAAAGAAACAATAAAGGAATTGAGTCTTTGCCACAAATTCAGTTTTTGTAAAACCAATATCTTTGCAGCCTTATGATGTAAACCTTTGATATTTCAAACTTACATTATTTGATCTAATATCATTCATAGTTTGAAATATTAAAGGTCTACGACACCGGGCTGCAACGATATTGAAATTAGAAAATCAGAGTTTGTTGCAAAAACTCAATTCCTTTGCGGATTTTATAAAAAAAAATCGTGAATTTTTAAAATTTTTAAAATATTTTTGAAAGTAGGATTTTGTTATAGGCAAATTTTTGAAAATTCGATGATCCAGGGGTCACGCAATGTCCCACACAAAATTTGAGCCCGATCGGTTCGGCCATTTTGACGTTTAATGGATACAAAAAAACAGACAGACAAACAAGCAAAGTATGTATATATGGACACGCGGAAATAGAGTGAAGTATCTTTTATAACTATTAACTTATTTTCTTTATATCTAAAAGTATATAATTTACAATATTAGTATTCTTATTTATTACTTGTTTATCTATCTATTTATCTTCTTTATATCTAAAGGTATATACAATTTACAATATTAGCATTCTTATTTATTTCTTTTTTATCTATCTATTTATCGTCTAGGTGTCGGGGTTTCTTATCATCCATCTTTTTTTATAATTTTCTACTAAAAATTAGAATTAATAATTCAAACTAAATACATAATAATGAAAAATGTTAACAGAAGAAAAAGTTGCCTTTGCTGGAATTCAGGAAAAAATATAGATTTTTAAAAAAAAAATAAGAAAAGTTTCTTTTGGGTAGATTATAATGTAAGGTCTGGTGCATAAAGTTTTAGAGAGGAGGGGGAGAATTGAAGTTAAGGGGCGTTTTGTAGTATATTAAAAGTTCTATCAAGCGAATCATATTTTAGTTCAATTTCTCATTTTATTTTTAGTTTTGTTTATTTGTTTTTGTTTTTAACACATTGATCTATTGTACCAAAAAAAGTTTTTTGTCTGTTTTATTGGTCGAAAATTTTTTTTTCAAAGAAATGCATTGTTGGTAGATTTAAGTCATCTTTAAGTCGCTAAATAAAAAACTCTATTTTGGCAAGATCAAATTTAAGTCAAATAGGAAAATTTCATTTTATCTTATTAGAATGGCCAAACAAACTAGTTTATCGGCAAAGTTTATACAAAGTTAGATACAATCTTGATAAGACAAGGCTTTAAGAATACAATGAAAAAAACTTAAAAAGCTAAAAAAAATGAATAAAATGGTAAATTATGTTTTTGGGTCATTTTATGGGTGATTAATGTTTAGACCTCGGCATTGTAAAGAAAAATATATTATCTTTTATAAATATTTCTCTCTTAAGTTATAATCAAACCCACTTTGCAATATGATGTTAGAAATATCAAAGATTATCACCACCAGGTTGCAATGATAAAGAAATAAAAAAAGTTTCTTTAGAGTGAAAGTTAAAGAGATTGCTCTGAAAATGTAAAGGGATTGCTCTGAAAAGTTAAAGGGATTGCTCTGAAAATGTAAAGGGATTGCTCTGAAAATGTAAAGGAAATACTTGACGAATCATGATTATATAATGAATAGATTATCACTGTCAAAAAAAAATTATAACTTATTCCTTATAAATTATAATCATCATAATCAAATTTTCTCAAAGCCCCCTTTTAGTTTTTTTAAAACTAAATAATCGTCTCAAAATCTAATAAATTGATTTTTTGACACAAAGTCTATTTTCTAATCCCTATACTTTGCAACCTGATGGTTTTAGTCTTTGATATTTCAAACTGAGAGGCTTGATTAATCACAGTTTGTGGGAAAAACTATTTCTTTTCTTATCCCTAATGTTTATTAACCACCATATTGTGCACTGTTTTCAAGTTCCTATATTTTAACATTTGTGCAGAATCCAATCCAAGATCTGAAGCTGTAGAGGCGGAGAGGGATTCAGGGGGCACAGAGAGTATGGACAGCGAATACATGGGTCAGCATATAGATTAATATATATATATATATATATATGTATATAGATAGATGGATAGATAGATGAATAGGTAGATAGATAGATAGATAGATAGATAGATAGATAGATAGATAGATAGGTAAATAGATATATAGATAGATAGATAGATAGATATATTATATAGATAGATAGATAGATAGATAGATAGATAGATAGATAGATAGATAGATAGATAGATAGATAGATAGATAGATAGATAGATAGATAGATAGATAGATAGATAGTTAATTAGTTTCTTTAGCAACATGGCTGTTCTTTCTGTCGTTGGAAAGACCTTGAAAAATTCAATCCAATGATGCTTTTTGCTTTGTCATCTTTTGGCACAAGGTGTCTCAAAAACAGTCAAAACTACAGAAAAAAATCGAGTATTGCCCATCCCTAGTTACGAGAGACTCGAATTACCAATCAGAGGGAAGTTTGTGTATTTTCTACAAGTTTAATTATATATTAACAATAAACATGGAAACCTAGTCAACACAACTGACAATGTAAAAAACTAATTATTATACTTAAACATGTAAAACTTCAAAAATATAATTAAATTTTACAAAAAAATGGAAAGAATATTCTAGAAAAGATGAATGACTGTATACCGCCTATTTCTCACCCTTTAAAGGCACTGTAATCGTATTTCCAACCCTGACCCTCCACCAAGAGGGGTACATTCAATTTATATAAGTACTCTTTAAACCTATTGTTTAAGAATGTGGATGATATCGTCAATTTTCTAACTTTAAAAGGGTTTAATTCTGAAAATTAAGGTCTGATAGAAAGTTTTCAAACTTCTATTTTATGCTTGAAATACATTTTTTTATTGTTAAAATTTTCTCTATCTGACATGACAAATTTTAAGGTTCGACTTACATGTATAAAGCTTTATACAGGCTTTTACGGAGCTTCGCGCATTTCTTTTATTTTAATTGTGAACTTGTTCTCTTAGTGTACATTGCACAACAAAAACAACCAAAAATTTCGTGGAATTTACAAAAAAGTTCGTGGATTTTTAAAATGTTCAAAAATCTAATTTTTTTAAATGCAAATTTTTGAAAATTCGATCCAAAAACATTCCTTGGGGTCACGCAAGGTCCCACAACAAATTTTTCGGTTCAGCCGTTTTGGCGTTTATTGGATACAAACAAACAGACAGGCAGTATATAAAGATTTATTAACAAATGAATTGAGTTAGTGCCAAGAACTTTTTTTCGAATTCCTATATCTTTACAACTCAATGTAGGAGACCTCAGATATTTCAAACTATGAATTTATCTAAGTTAGATATATCAAATCAAAGGTTTACTCCATCCGATGGTAGAGATTTATACAATAGAAAATCAGAGTTTGTGGCAAATACTTAATTATTTAAAAAATTTAAAGAAAAAACCCTATACATTAACCAATAAACTGATCCCTAACACATAAATGTTTGAAAAATATATATTTTTATTTTCTAGTTCGGAACTACATGACGTACACTCCTGAGAAGCGTGGAGGAGAGAAACTATTTACCGGATTCCTTCTCCTCGCAACTCTTCTATCTGTCGTCTTCCTTTTCTACTATCAAAACTTCACAGCGGGACTTCTTCACTAACAGAACGCGGCATTTATTTTAAATAGATTTTAGACGTAATTTTATGTAACTCTACATTTATGTCCAATACACGATGGTATCCTTTAAACCCTTAAAGCAACTATAGTTGAATTCGGACAATTTCCTAGATTGTTTCTTCAGTTTAAATCTGCATCTGCCATTTAAAGGAAAATCCAGAATTAAAAATAATAATTTTTTTATTTTAATCAGCATAGACAGATACAGGTTGAAGAGTACTGTCGTGAATGGACACAAAAAATGCAAGAATAATTGAAATTACTTCTACAATAATATGAATATCTATTGTTTCATTTGTTTTATAAAAATCAAAATAAGTACATTGATAAATTCCAATGCTCAACAAATGACATTAAATCTGAAAAGGGTTGAAATTGTAAGTTGTAACGCTTAATGAAGAAAACCCTAACACCACATAAAAGATGGATTTTGATCGTTTCCCTTGCTCGATCACCTGGACTACGTAAAAACCATATTGTATTTCGAAACTATTTTTAAAAACTTTTTGACTTTATAATCCAACCGATTAGAGACACACAAATAGAGATGCATGATATTAGAGGCTTGAGTGCTTCTTTAGACCCAAATATTTAGAAAAACAGATATTTTTTTATTTGATTTTATTATGAAAAATGTTCATGGTTATTAAAATTGTTATGCTCTATACAAATGCAGTAAAAAGCGCTGTAGATATATTTTTGAAATTACTTTATCAGGAAAAAAACTCCAAAATTTTCAAAAGCAAAAAAAACTATTTAATCTACTTTTTTTAAATATTATTCACAATTAGCTTTCTTTTTGTAACGCTTTTGCTTACATGCTTAAGAAGTTAAAAAACGTTGTAATTATAAAAAAAAGTTAATGGTCAAGTTTGCTGGGTTTTAAGGTTGGAAAGATTTTTAAAAATCATAAAAAGTTGAAATCTAATTCTGAAAAGTTTAAATGTGCAAAGGATCAGGGCAAGCGAGGCTAAAATGAGAAACAGAATGTTTATTAACCACCATATTGTGCACTGTTTTCAAGTTTGGAGATGGGGGGGTCATTACAGGGAGGGGGGATTATGGGGAGAATTACATGGAGAAGGGGGGGGGGGATTATTCCATGCCAGTAGGAGGAAAGAATGCATCTATGGAATATTAAGCCCCAAGTATAATATATGAATGAGGGTATAGGGAGTTTGTATTGACTTTCAGAAGAAAACCTAAGAACTATTTTTAAAAATTCAAACATTATTTAAATCAAAACTTTTGTCCTTGGTGTCCCGGTTTATCATAAATTTACTGTTTTTGTCAAGAATTGAGCAATTGTAAACTTATTTTGATTACCATTATTAAACTTTCTATTTTGAAATTACTATTTTTTCATTATCACAGATTAAAAAGATTTATAAATTAAACCATTATATCAAGCACTTTTTGTTGTAATTATTTAAAGGATTATTTTCAAGTAACCCTCCATTAATGATAACGAAAATTAATAACGGTATCCTTTAAAAAATAATCAATAATTTAATAAAACAAGAGGTTTTTTCGAAAAAAAATTTTAAATTTTAATTATCATTTTAGAAAAAAGTAAAACAACTAAGACTGTTAAAAATCCACCTTTAATTTACAAAAAAATAAAGTACAGGGAAATGAGTCTTTGCCACAAACTCAAATTTTCTAATGCCAATAATTTTGCAACCTGAAGATGTAAACCTTTGATATTTCAAACTTAGATCATTTGATCTAACCAAATCCATAGTTTGAAATATCAAAGGTCTACGACATTGGGTTGTAAAGATATAGCGATTAGAAAATCTGAGTTTGTGGCAAAGACTTAATTCCTTTCTAATATAAGTTTAATTGTAACATGTTACTTCTAAAAGTTGATATTATTGTCACTATAATTAGTAACATGTTACAATTACGTTTTTGTGAAATTTTTACCTGATCGTACTTTGTAGTGATGGGAAAGTGTACTTTTAAGAGGGGAGGGTATTCTTTGATTCCTTAGACACTTGATTTCATCATTTCTTTAACTAACTTTTGTGCCAACAACATTTTTATTTAATTAAATAAATATGTTTTTCATAATGAAAAAGTAGTAATCTCCGTTTGTCTATTTATTTGTTTGTTTGTGTGTCCAATGTAAATCACACGCAAATCTGCCCGTTTGGTAAAAGTAAATTCAGCAGACATGAAGCATACAGTCTGACCGCGTCAACCTTGTTGCACGGGCTAGTCCTGTCCATAAAGCTAGGAACAGTACAAACTGGAACCGGAAACGTTGACCCGGCTCGGAAATTCAAATATACTACGGCTGCCCGAGCTCAGGAACCCATTGACCTATTCGCCTAAATTTTGATTAGGGAACCAGGAAGAACCACGGGAATGTTTTAGCTTGGCTGAAAGGTTTATTAGGTCGACTTTTAAAGAGAAAAATACTGCGTTCCCATGCAAGTTTTTGATAAAACAAAAAAATAAGTGACTGATTAAAATTAGTAAGAAATGATTCCATCTTCCATTTTTTAAATTATTTATTTAATTTTTACTGAAACAATTGAGACACAAACACTTACAAGAGTGATCAAATAAACCAGCCTTGAACACGGTTAAAATAACATTGAGAAGAGTATTTAACACAGATATGTTAATTAAAGGAAAGGAATTGAGTCTTTGAAACAAACTCTGATTTTCCAATGCCTATATTTTTCCCATCTGATCATGTAAATCTTTGATATTTCAAACTTTGATTCTTTCATCTATCATTTATCTAAGGTCTACAGCATTGGGTTGCAAAAATAGAGAAATTAGAAAATCATAGTTTATGACAAAGACTCAATTCCTTTACATTAAAAGAATGATTGGATGTTACACAAATTTAAACATACAGATTAATATCACCTTAAAATGAGCCGAATTAAAAAAAACGATGGTTCCAAGATAAACAAATGATGATTTTAAAATTGTTACGGTAAATTACAAAATCTTGGAACTATATCAATAAAAAAACCACTAATATGGTTTCTATTTTTTTCGAGATTTTTCACGGAAAGGAATTGAGTCTTTGCTACAAACTCTAACTTTCTAATCCCTTTGCAACCTGATTGCTCAAACTTTGATATTTCAAACTTAGATTTCTAACAGAATTCATAATTGGAAATATCTATAGGTCGAATAAATTGGTTTGAAAAGATATCGGGATTAGAAAAGCAGATTTTGCGGCAAAGACATAATATTTCAAATAATTTGTAAAATTTAATATTTTGATGTTAACAAAAATAATTGTTAATCGTATATAATCTATTCATAGCTTTTTGCTTATGCACATTGTATAGATTGAAGATTGCATAAGTTAAATTTTATATTTTTGAAATATTGTTTTACATAATCATCTTAACCATAGATGCCATGGTGCTATACAGTCAATATAGTTTTCAAGAAATATAGATTTAGATTTTTTTAAATTCTTAAACTGAGAGAAAAAAATTTTCCTCTAAATAATTTTTTTTCACTATACTTAGATTAATGCCTCACCATGTTGTTATGATCATCTTGATCGAAATAATGAACAGATTTCAAAAATCAATTTTCATAACAATCTGTTTGCAGTTTCGAACATACAGAGTTACCAATAAAGCTTGAGACTGTAAAGACGACTTGAAAATCTTCAAATGAGTCAATTTCAAGGATGCATTAAGTCTTCTCCCTTAAAGGGAGTGACCGTCAATGTACTGTACTGATAATATAGCAGCGGATTCATTTGAGACATATAAAAGGTCTTAATGATGTATAATTACTGAGTTTGATCGCAAAGTCGACGTTCAAAATCATCCGTTTGGGTGGGTACGTTTTGAGAATCGATTTTTAAAAAATTATTAAATAACGACGACGAAAAATGTAAAAAATTATTAAAACATTATTAAAACTTTTTATGTCTCAAATGAATCCTAAAGAATTTGTCCATAACATTGCATACTCAGTTCAAATGCCTTACATAGCCGGTCTGTCCCTTTAAGGAAGAAGACTTAATTTAACCCAAGGATATAATGCAAGGAAAGTTATTTCAGAAGTTTACGCATCTTTTGTACTGCAGTATACTGTCTCTGGGCGGTAATGTAAACACAAGACGGATGATACAGCCTGACATGGGATCCATCTTTCGCATATGATGAAATATTCTGTTCATAGGAAAACATTATGTGAATTATCAAAATTATCAAATTTAATGCTTTTAACCTCCTCGGATACTAAATGAACACTGATGCATCTATTCTTGTTTACAAATTCCGCCCAAAGAGAACTGGTTTCAATGTGTACGCAGAGTATACGCGACCGCAATTAACTTTCCTTGCATTACACCCTTGATTTAACCGGTTCTGTTATATGAGTTCCAGGTCCTCATATAAGTCTCATCCTTTCTAGGTCACCCTGTCTCATTCAAATGAATGTGAGTAGAAAGAGAAGTACTAACTCATAATTTTATTAATATATTATTTTAACTTTTATAATCATACTTTAAAGATTGTAACATTGAAATATATATCCTTAAAGGGACTGTAGACATTATTTCAAGTGACCCTCTATTAATAAAGTGGTTATATGTCAAATTCACTCTTTAAACCTTTGTCTGGCGAGGGAGGGAACCCTCGGACGCCATGAGCTTCCACTATGCAGACATGAGCCTCCCAGATTTGCTAGGCAGATCGAACCTCAACTATGCAGACCAAGCCTCCGCTAGAACCGTGCCTCTGCTATGCAGTAAATGAGCCTCCACTCTACAGCACAGCTTTTTTTAAATCTTGGTTTTTATGTGTAATACAAAATTTAAACAATTTTTTTTGACGTAGTGGCATAAGAATTTTACTAAAGATTAGAAATATTTTTTGATTGTCATGATTAGAAACATATATGAACTCATAAAGTGGTTTATAAGATTTATACTAAAACTTTAAACATTTCTTACGCAGAAAGGAAGATATTTGGAGAAATATTTCTGGAGTAAACTAAGTTTGTTTTGTTATAATCTTTGGTTTAATATATACCTTTTTTAGAAAAATGTTAAGAACCAAACCAAATATATTTTAGATAAATGATACAAATTTTCTAGATTTAATTTGAACTACAAAAAAAGGTATTGCTTAAATCAAAGATTAAAAAAGATGAAATGAAATTCTATTCAAATTTTTTTCTCTAAATATTTTCCTTTTCGTGTAAAAAATGTTTAAAGTTTTAAAAACCACTTTATTAGTCATAATTAGGCGCTATTTATGCTAATTGATAAAAACTTATCATTTTTGAGAAACCTCTCATGCCACTATGTCGACAGAATTGTCAAAAACATTTTATTATAAATACGAAACAAGAGTTTTAAAAATTACTTCTGTATAGCGAAGGCTCGTTTACTGCATAGCAGAGGCTCGGTCTGCATGGTAAAGGCTCGGTCTGCATGGCGAAGGCTCGTTTCTGCATAGCGGAGGCTCGGTCTGCCTAGCAAATCTGGGAGGCTCTTGTCTGCAGGGTTGGAGGCTCATGGCGTCCGGGGATTCCCTCCCTCGTCTGACCATGCATAGTGGAGGCTCGGTCTGCCTAGCAAATCTGGGAGGCTCTTGTCTGCAGGGTTGGAGGCTCATGGCGTCCGGGGATTCCCTCCCTCGTCTGACCATGCGGCGACATTGAAAATCAATTATTTAAATGCATGGTTGTTTCTTTATGTGTACACTCGAGTGAAATCAATGTGCAATAAATCCATCAAATCCCACACATCCTGAATATATTTCTGAATATTTCTTTTCAAATATGTTTTTTCTAAATTCAAAAGAAAATGACAATGTTTATTTTCTTTCTCCCCCAGAAAAAAATAATGTCTTTTAGATTTAAACCTATCTAAGGCGTTCGGTTTATTCAATTTGAATTCAATCTTGGTTTGGTTTTAATTCAACAATATTTAAACTTACGGAGTTGTCTTTATAATTTCTCATTAAAACACACACCCCGACAGAAAAGTATATAAGAGAAAAATTATGTTAATAATTTTGATCAAAAGTCAAAAC